ATCTTCAGTCAGTAAGGAAAGACTATATTGCAGTAACCAACTGTACCTAGAGTCGAAGCAAGACTACAAAGGTTAAGTAAGTAACTACAAGTTAGAGGTAAAGGTAACGAAGTACTCACTCTTCAGTCAGTAAGGAAAGACTGAAGAGGGAGGACACAATCTGAAGTCCTTATATACTACAGTGAAGTGTCCATGACTAATCGAAGAGCGGTTAGTCACATGTACCATAGTGCGATGAATAATACGATGGTGAAAGAATTGCGACGTATCGCACCATAGGATGAGTAAGAGATGAGTAAGCATAGACCTGTCTAGACCGTTCTGGAGTAGTACGGATTGTCCTAGACAGTACCTGAAGAGTCCGGAAGCATAGCTACAGTACACGAGCAGAGAGTCCCAAATATGGTAACATACTACATAAGCGACTACAGCTAAGCGCTAGGAGACGCATAGCCTCGTGTAGTCCGGACCGGATAAGTCCAAGTTCAACAAGTAGGCTGGCTTTACGTCTCGTTCGTAGCGTTGCGTCATAGGTGCTAGATGACGTAGCACGTCAAGATGTCAGTGGCTGAATCGGGACAGGGCTTCAGTCTGCCCTACAGGGCTGTGTGATATTCTATACCTGGACCTTTGGGGCAATTCATCCTGCAAATTTTAGTTGATTCCCCTTCGATTGGGGCTCAGTATAATCTAGGCCAATTTTGAGTGCCATGGCCAATCGAGCCAACTGTAGCCAACCGTTTTGCACTTTTGCTGATGCTGTGTGGTGTCCTTGACGGCCCCTTCCTTAGGCACGCGCTGAACTCTATGCCACGCCTACAATTGTTAATGGTCAAGCTGCGATATGATGAATTGCATGGATTACCTTGGTTGACTTTGGATGCAGTGCTCTCCGTCCCTCGGCTCCGTCATATCGTCATCCAGTCCTACGTATTCTGCCCGCGCCATTTCCCAGCCACTGCACTGCTCCCAGAGATGCTCCCACCTCTCACGTCCTTCTCATATCGCCTGTTCACTACACGGTCCCATCCTCGCAGCTATCCTGCTGAACGCTCGGCGGTCAGCGCAGTGGTTGGCAATATCCACGGCAGCATTCAGATGCTCACGTTACCGAGCAAATCTGTGTCCTTCACCATGTTTCATTCGACGGTCTGGGAGCGCCTGCGCTCCCTCACGCTCACTGGCGGATATCCTATCGACCTATCCCTACCATTGATCTGCGTGCTTGCGAGCATGCCCGAGCTGTGTGTCTTGATACTAGTGTTTGCTCTGCCCATCCGCAATAGGCAGTCAATATGGCCCCGTGGCGCCGCTGTAACCCTCCCATGGCCTAAACTGACGGACCTCACACTCTCCTTCCCGGATCCGGGGGACCAGATATTCGCCCATCTTCCTGCTAGTCTACGGCGTCTGTCACTTCTTTGCTGCCCCCATCATTGTTTCTACAAATGGGACCCCTTGCTGAACTATCCGTGGCATTCCCCTATACTTGATGCAACCGATATGCTACAAGTTCTCGATGCTGTACAGGCTCCCAGCCTTGAGGCGTTTCGGCTGGAATATCGTGCAGATGATGTAGACGAAGCCCTCCTGCGCCGTATCGTCACCGCATTCCCTCATTTGACTGCCATTGAGATGCACTGGTTTCGTGCAGAGGGGGATAAAGCTGTCCCAGTGGTAGGTCCAAACATAGTTTTCTCGACGCGTGATCCTGCATCCTGATGTTTTGTGTGTAGACCGCAATAGCGAAGATGCTTTCTAGGCTTGTCTCCTTGCGGAGTCTCCGTCTCCATCTAGATTTCCCGATCATGGCACATATATGGATGGCAGAAGACGAAAAGGTTTTGTGGGATGACTTGAAAGCTAATGCTGCATTGATTGCACGTGAACTTGATTCATCCTTGGATTCTTTCGGTATACTACAATGGGACGCCTACGATCGCGATTGCAAGTGGACATACTTCCCTGCAGATCCAGAACTCTGTGATCGCCTCCCCGAAGACTCAGATGCGATAGTAGACCAGGTCTGTGAAGCAATAATTTGTATTTGCTACCAATGACAGACGTAGATCTAGATCATACACCGCAATGACTGGCTCTGATTCTACTAGCTGTTCCCAGAGGGCAGTATATCGGAGTCCTATCATGACTTTGCGCGTAAGGTGAATCTGCGTTCCCTCGCCTCCCTCGTTTTGGGTCGTCATTGAGCTCATGTTATGACAAAGAACGTGTGTAATTCGTCTAGCATACCCTCACTGCACTATAGTGTAGGTGAGGGCCACCTTCCAGGTTGATAGCTTTGATCCCAGATATGTTTCGGACGGATGGTTTCTCGCTATCATTGTGCGACTCGGATGTACAGAACTTTGTGAGTACCAGGACATCGCTCGAGATACAGATGTCCTGGTTCCGCGCTGATGGGCAAGTGTCGAAGAACAGAACACTTGGGATGATAGTGTGCCATCTCTACCGATCTCGTAGCTCATGCTTTCGTAGTTGCACCGCGTCTGATGTTTCTGCGCATATGAGCCATTTGTGTCCCAGTATTATCGAGTAAGTCGTAATCGTAAACTATGATTCAGAGTGTCGCTCATGGGCAACAATAAGCAACAAATACCAGTCTATACACGTACAACTATGCTCGATCGTAGCTTAGACGAATGTCTCAATCATCGTCTGCGGGGTCATGGTAGGTGTATTGCTTCCAATCATTAGCCCATTGTGGCACCATCTTCATATAGTCTATCCCATCAACAGTCTGATGAAGAGAGATGAACATTGACTGGAAAAAATTCTGTCGTGTAGATATAATTCAGAGGAGTTCTTGACGGATTCGAGGACTACTCACAAGCCCCAGGTGGCATTACCCATCTCCCTTAGTATCGTAGATGAGGCCTTCCCATGGTTGGTTGAGCTTCGCAATGCTTCGTTGGCATACAAATGGATAGAGAGGCCCAAAAATCACAACACAT